CATATATATATATATATATATATATATATATATATATATATATGTAAAAAACAACTCGTCGCACGCAATTTTGCTAAAAAAAAAAGTTGTTTCTTTTAACATAAAGAATCACGTAGTGTACTCCAAATGCGGGAGTTTTGGGACACTCTGTATATCAGTTTATAACAAATAAACTCTTATATTAAACTAGTTTTATTTGTTAGTTATATTTGCTTTCATAACTATTCACATAAAAAATCGAAATTTATATCCCGTGCGTAATTCAGATCCATATATTCGTGTCTTGCTCGAACAATATACACATAATGGTTATTATTTTTATGTCGCAGTGTTTCTTGAATCTTGTCATTACTTTCTTAAATCAAAATTTCTCATTTTTACTTTGTTATTATTTTAATTAAGGTCTAGTAGCGCCCAGTTTTTCTACATAAAAGTTTTCTTACTTAAATTAAATTTTTTTATTTTGTACTATTACCTCTTTCATTTTTTATAATTAAATCTTTCATTCGATTCAAATATATATGTATTTAAAAATTTTTTATAAAAAGATATGTCGGAATATTATACATATATACATATATTGAGATAGAAAATTGTTACCACTTGCGTTAGATACATTTGAGTTAAATTAATGTTACATGTTAAATTAGTGTACGTCATGTCAATTACACGATTCTTCTCTTTCGAGAATTATTTATTACCTTCGAATTATTATTAATTTCGTTATGGGATGTCTAAACTTTTCAAAATTTGTTATTGAAAAACAGCACACATACAGTTGATTAAGTAGACAGCGATAACAAAATAAAAAAACAAACTTTTTCCTTATTAGAATCGTATAGCGCTCTTCAAGGGAACAATGTTCAGTTCACCCTCAATGCCAGTTCGGTCACAACATACGTCCAATACACTCCGTCTTTTTCCACCGAAGGCTCGAACCAGATCATTCTGATTTTTTTCGAATTAGTATCTCGTCGGATCGGACTCTTATCAGAATATAAAGTAAATGCACGATTTTTATGAGTGTAGTTTCGAGCTCGATCTCGCCGATCACCATACTTTTTCAATCATCAACCATCAGCATTGACAATAATTTTCAGCATTGATAATAGTAAATCGAATTCCTTTTTTTTTCTATTTTTCATTCGATTGTAACGCGCTACGGCCGCACCCCCTCTCTTCGTAATTATGAAACCGCTTTTTTTTTCTCTCTTCTGATCATTCCTCGAAATTCAATCTCATCTCCTCTCTCATTCCTGCTAAATCTTGTTTTTAAATACATATATATCAATAGACTCTCCCTTAGGATACGCGGCCGCCGAAAAACTTGGTGCATTTCATCCCTTTTTCCCTGTTTATAGTGTTCTGAACCAGATTACCGCCTCTCTTCAGGCAGAAGCGGACGAAAAGAGCCCTGGCAGAGGTAATGTTCCGATCGGGACTTCCTTTTTCGCGCATGCGCGGCAAAAATAGTATCAGTATAGTATCTAGCACGGACGAAAAGATATGCCTTTATTAACCCTTGTAAAATTACTTAAACATTATCGAAAAATTTATAATCCATAATTTATAATCCATAATTTATAATCCATAATCCGTAAGAGCTCTCTTTCTGTCCTTTTAGAATTTATTTTTAAAAACTTCTCTATAACCTTTTTATCAAAATTTAATTTTTTATAAGATGTAAAAAAAATGCAAGTATTCTCTAATTTATAAATAGTAGTGTATATTTATAGTGTGTATTAAATTTAATAATATTAAATCTAATATTAAAAATAAAATAATACATAGGAAAGATATTAAGGAAATTTTTAAATAAAACAATCTTCTTATATAACGAAAACATTTTATTTGACAGAATCAAAGAATATCATTCAACATTTGTTGCATGGGTAAGGAAAAACTGCCAAAAACCTTACCAGTATTCGTACAACAAAAATATATTTTTATTAAATTAAAAATAAATATTTCATATAATATAAACATAATATTTTATGAATTATAAACAAAACAACTTTACTATATGTATTTAATGAATTAATAAAATTTAAATAAAAATAAACTTATCTTTAAAGAACATAAACTTTTACTTAAATGTTTATTATATTTATTATAAAATATAATAAACATAAATAATATATGGAACTGAAACAATATAATATGTTAAACGATTCTTTTTAAATGATTCTGTCTTTCATGAACGAATTAGAAAGAATATAAAGTATAGAAAGATAATAGATTAGAATATATAATAGATAATAAATTAGAATATATAATCTGAAAAAATAAAATAACAGTTATAATTGTTGTGTATGACATGTTAAAATATTGGTTAAATGAGTAAAATATACTATTATAAATATAATATTATAAAACATAAAAAAAAAACAAATATAAATAAAAATAGTCAAATGTAAAAAAACGAATTAAAAGAGTTAAGTTAAGTTAATCATCACATGAATCGCATCGTTGTATATATAAATTTTATGGATTATGTAAACTTAAATGTTCGGAATCTATTTCAAAATTAGTACAATTGATGCCTTCAGTTTGGAAACTTGATTATACTACACATCGCGGATACTATTTGATGAACGATTTCTTTTTTTAGTTTTTATATCTGTTACCATAAAAAAAATACGTTTCGACTTAGGCATTTGAATGGGGAAAAGAAAGAACAGCTTGAATAAGTAACTCTAAATGTAGAAACATTTTTTCCTCATGAACATCTTTAAACTCTAATATTTTTTTCCACATCTCATCGATTTCTAAAATAGCTAACTCTTGTTTTTCAATATTATTATAAATTAAAGGTAGATTTCTCCACTCGTAAACTAATTTAATTGTATCAATATTACCGATTTGCGTAGCAATAAGAGTTAAATCTTTAATTTTATTTCTGCCTTCATGATAAAGCACAATTTCAGGCTGTAAAAACATCAATTGTTTAATAACAATATCATTATACGGCAAGCGTTTTAACATTTCTCGAACCGCAGTAAATAAAAATCTATTATTTAATTTTAATTTCTTTCCTAAACTCAACAGGTTGTGTTTCTAAAAAACTTTCGTAGTCAGATCCAACATATGTATCTTCAAGAGCTTATTTAATTTTTTCGTTATTCAAATTTAGATTACAAAAACATAATGGACAGGAGCATAAAAGCAGAATAAAAAAGCGGAATAATTAAATGTGTAATATATAATTCGTCAGCGATAAAACAGATACATGGATAAAATTATAATTAAAAGTAAACAAAAAGAATAAATTCAAATTAAAAATAAAAATAAAAACAAAAGTTCATACCAATTAACGACTAAGAACACAAAAGAATAGATTCGTCGATGGTAAAACAAAACTTCAGTATGTGACTGATGACAACAAATTCAAATTAAAAATAAAAATAAATTAAAGATTAAAAACATAAACGTCGTTTCGATCTTATATTAGATCTTCTTCAATGCGGTAATACAGCGCGATGATACAAAATAAAGACAATTAGCGATATAATATATATGCAGAGAATGTCAAGTACAAACGACTATTAACTTGAAACTAAAGACATGATCGTGTTAGGCACTAACCGACTGGTGCGCGCGAATGTAGTGTCCAGTATATAATCTTATCATACCAACAGATACTCTCATATTGCATATTGTTGCGGTCCGAAATACGTGTAATCGCTTCGAATCTGATCGCCACCAATCTTGCTCTTTTTTAGTTCTCGAAGCATTTTCCATGTTTAGACAACGCGGACAGTCCCCAATGTATAATGCCAAAGAGCGTGGAAAGTCATTAGAGACGTTCTTCACCCAATTTTGACGACAATGTATTGACTAAATTGTATTGCCACCTAACGTATTTGAAAGATAAAATATAGAAGATAGAATTGATCTTAAAAGAGTCTCGACATTTTTTAATTAGATAAAACATAACATTGCGGATACCTTGGAGACAGTCCATACAGTCAAATTGTAAAGACAGATCGGAGTCATGGATAGTTAATCTCAAAAAGAAACCCACGAATGTATCAAACACAATTATCATTGCTGAGAAAGATCAAGATGTTCCGTTAAGGAGGGGGAATTTTGTGAAAAGGAGGGAGTATGCTTAGGAAACCGGGGAGGATGGGAAAATAACTCTCGGGTAACAATTCACTTTGTTTATTAATCCCCTGAGGCTGTTTTTTAATGTGGATCATTTCGGAGACAATCCTTTTGTTGACGGTTTCTTTGTCTAGAATCCTAATATTATCCCAATCAAACTCATGTTTAAAATTCATTCTATGAATCGAAACCACAAATGGGGAGCCGGTAACTTTTTTAAGGTCACGGATATGTTCGTTTATTCTAGTTTTAAGTTGTTTGGTTTGTCCGACATAGGTAACCTCGCAATCCTTGCAATTGATTCTGTAAACGACTTCCGGGTGTATCATCGGATCTAATAAGTCTTTGCCCGTTTTAATGAATCTATTCAGAGGATTAATTAACCGATAACCTAATTTCAGGTTGTATTTTTTGGTGATTGTTGCAAAATTTTCAGATATGCCCCTGACGTATGGAACAAGAAAGAATGGCATGCGGGGCACCGTAGAATCAACCGCGTCAGCAACCTCATCATATGCAACCCCAGAATTCAATTTTGTGAAATATTTGATTCTGTTAGTAATAGTGGTATCCGGAATGTTTTATCTAATTAAAATAAAAAATGTCGAGACTCTTTTAAGATCAATTCTATCTTCTATATTTTATCTTTCAAATACGTTAGGTGGCAATACAATTTAGTCAATACATTGTCGTCAAAATTGGGTGAAGAACGTCTCTCACTAACGACTTTCCACGCTCTTTGGCATTATACATTGGGGACTGTCCGCGTTGTCTAAACATGGAAAATGCTCCAAGAACTAAAAAAGAGCAAGATTGGTAGCGATCAGATTCGAAGCGATTACACGTATTTCGGACCGCAATAATACACAATATGAGAGTGTATCTGTTGGTATGATAAGATTATATACTGAACACTACATTCGCGCGCACCAGCCGATTAGTGCCTAACACGATCATGTCTTTAGTTTCAAGTTAATAGTCGTTTGTACTTGACATTCTCTGCACATATATTATGTCGCTAATTGTCTTTATTTCGTATCATCGCGCTGTATTATCGCATTGAAGAAGACCTAATATAAGGTCGAAACGACGTTTATGTTTTTAGTCTTTAATTTATTTTTATTTTTAATTTGAATTTGTTGTCATCAGTCACATACTGAAGTTTTGTTTTACCATCGACGAATCTATTCTTTTGTGTTCTTAGTCGTTAATTGGTATGAACTTTTATTTTTATTTTTATTTTTAATTTGAATTTATTCTTTTTGTTTACTTTTAATTATAATTTTATCCATGTATCTATTTTATCGCCGACGAATTATATACCGTTTACACATTTAATTATTCCGCTTTTTTATTCTGCTTTTATGCTCCTGACTACCTATTATATGTTTATGTTAAGAAGCGTCTGACCATTACTAATTAGATTACAAATATTTTCTAAAAACTCTGACTTATAAAATTTTGTGCAATTTTATGAATAAACCGTTGACTATTTTCATATAACTTGTGAATTAAAATTTTTCGAGGTTGAGAAAGTGCGTTAAAACTATTAAAATAATGTAATGAATATCTTAAAATAAGAAATATGCTTTTATTGATTTATCATTTAACTGATCTAAAATGATTTCTGCGGCTTTTATTTTATCTTTAACTACTGCGAGAATAAAATATAATAACTTTGTAAAACATTCCAATTTGTTAATAATCTTTCAATACATTTAAGTAAAATTAGTCATCTGGTATTGCATAATTTTAGGATCTTGTTTCTTTCTATATTAAAAAAATCCTGAAACTCAACTAAAATTGCACATCTCTTAGCACTGCTCGAAATATAACTACTTACTCCTCGAATTAAATTTTTGCATGATTCTGGTAATTTTTCAAATGCTTTACTAGCAATTAACGCGGAAGAATGGCAAACGCAATTAAATGTAATAAGACCCGATATTTCTAATTTTAAATGAGACATAAAAGAGTTATTGTATCCAATCATTACTGGCTATGCATTATCGCTTGCTATTCTAACTATATTTTGTAATGGTATGCTTTTCTCTTGAAGAAGATTTTTAAAGTTTTCGAAAATTTTGCTTGCAGAACTATCTCTTGTGTCTACAGACATTATTACAAATAATTTTTGTATCGGAAATATGCTTTCATCAATTAATACAGAATATTTGCAGGTTTGTAAATCATTAATAATTTTATTGATTTCACGTTTCGCAATAACATTAATAACAATATTTTTATATTTATCTCGAATTAGTGTTAGATCTGATACAATTTCAGGATCAATGCAGATATCTTTCAATAAAAGAA